TGTTCTTGAATTAAGTCCATCATCGCCAAAATTTTGCCATTTGAGAACTTGGAAATGCAAGAATCAAGATATGCTAGAGCTTTCATTTTCAGATATGAAGGAGGTTTCATGTAAAAATTGCAACAATGCCTTCATTAGGTGGAGAAAATTAGATAAGCTTGGAAGACGTACATGTTAGCAACTTTTAATGTTTGAAGAAAACAACAGTTGAAAAATCAAAAACCATGATGGGATTTGGCCAAAAGTAAAAACCTTTGTCAAAAGGAGTTTGATATATAATTGTGAACGTATGTAAAGCATTGTGCATCTGATTTTCAGGCTAAAGGAAATGTGTAAATCATTGTGATGATGACATTTTAATTTTACTTTTAAACTTTGCATATGACATAATAATTGGAGTCCTTAGGCGCAGATCGCGGCCCGATTGTCTGCTATTCTACATTATCTACTTACCCATAAAGTTAGGTTTACGTCCTAAAAAGTAAAAAGAGGGTTCTAGAGTTGTTCAGTAACACTTCATACCTAATTGACCATGTTGGGCCGATATAGACACAGTTCTGTGTCACAAAAGTTTTTCCATACTGATATATTATTAATTAAATAAAAATATTTATAATAATTACATATTATTAAATAAATTAATTAATAACAATTTATACTTTTTTATTTAATAAAAAAGAGCCGACTAATTGTAGTTATCTAAACTAAAAGTCTACCGAGCCACCACAATTCTTCTCCCTGGTGGTTCTGTCATTATTCCGAGTAGGGGAGCAGGTAAGAGTCTCATAAATTCTTAATGCTATCTAAAATACCATTTTGTTGATATGCTTAAGCCGTTAAGCGTGATTGCTTTTCAACTCTAATGCTTCTTTTAGGGAAAAATAATAGTTTTTCTTTTCAACTGTGGACTCATGGGAAGGCACTAATCAAGATTGATTTGTCAAAAATTCCAAGCACAGCAGTGTTATATAAGAAAAAATAAAAACAAAAAGATGCCAACACAGTGACAGCTGAGAGAGCAGACCAGACATGATATGCCAAAGCAAATTGACACATGAGGATGGTTCATCATCACTGACTCAAGAGCTAAACTAAGATCTGAAAACTGAGTTTGATTCACGCTTAATTCCATATATTTTACCAAAACTTGGGAATATTACACACAAAACACAAACTTTAGCTTAATATATATATTTTACAAGTACACATAGCACACAGCAAGCTGAGGGTCTGAGACCAAATATTCAAGGCAAAAGCTAGACAGGCAAACCCAACATTGATCTATACATAGAAAGCAGGAATTTTTCTATGCTGAAACTAAGGATTCTCGGCACCCCCTGCAGGCCGTTGTTTTTCTGCAAAGCGATTAACTAATGCGAGGGCATTGCTAGTCACCTGAGCAACCTTGACGATGTTGCGCCTAATTGAGTTCTTGACATTTCCATCCATTTGATGCCCTGCAAAGCCATCAAGACAAGTGTTCTCGTCAGTGAGAGCAGCACTGGCCCATGTCTGAACGTTGCTCATGTGCCACATGAAGTCCTGACCCGCGGTTTGCCCCATCTGGCGAAGTTCCTTTATGGACTGACTCAGCCTGTCCACGCTGTCGGCCATGGTGTCTATGCAGTCTCTAACAGCTTGGTACTCTCTGGGCTTGATCCCCTCCACTTTAGCCATCTTGGCCACAAAGGTTGAAGCGGATTTAGCCTTGGATAGGCTCACGTTCAAGGCGGTTTGAGCTAGTTGGTGCTCACTCTTTTGAATCTGACCGGCATAGCCTGAGAGGGACTGAACACACACAGGAGGATAGCGAGTGCTCTTGCATGAGGCTACAATGAAGTCTGTTGGGCTGGAAGCTGCAGCCTTGGCGGCCATGTGGAGAATGGGAAAAGAGAGAACCCATATGAAAAAGCAGAGTCTTGCCATGTCTTTGGAAGACAGATTATGAATAGGGTGGGTTTTGATGAAATGAAAGAGCATGGGGAGTGCATTTATATGGAGTCCAAATAGTCGTTTCCTATCACCTGCTAGTATTAAAATAAGTATTGCATTCACATGGTTTGTTTCCTTTTAACCCCGTTTCCCATGAGCTGCTTTCCTCTCCTTTAATCTTTTTTACATTTTGAGTTGTTTATTGTTCATTTTGTTTCCTATTCTGTTCGGTAATGACTAGGAAATTTTAAGCTTCCAAATCCTCTTTTTATTTTGTTCCACACAAATATAAACATATATTCCATGTTCGGTGCTTGTTTGTGCGAGAGACTGTGGCAGACCCTTTTCAGCACTCTAAATTTGAACAATGTTTGGGACAAAAACATGATATACAATTATACACGGGCAAGATCAAAGTTGAAATTAGATAGGTTTTTTTTTTTTTTTTTTTTTTTTTTGTATGTTAGTTGCACAATAAGAGGTAACTCTCTCCCGTCTCTTATCACATTCCCATCCGTATGCCATGCAACTCAAATTTAAAATCTTTTATTTCCAATAAAAAAAAATTAGTATTGAACCATTTAGGTTGTTAGCTTTTTTGAAATCTTGAATTGCACAATATAAAGCAATTTTTTCTTTCATTTTTTATCTTACACCTCATCCGTAAATTATATAATTCGAATTAAGAATTTAAAAGATCATTATTAAATTATTTAAGTTTTTAAATTGAAATTAATTAAGTTAATTAACAATGAATTGGTAATATTTAAAGATATTAGTTGGACATTGTACGACTAAACATATTGAAATAAGCAATTAAACAGTCATAATAAGATATGAAAGAATCAAGTGAGGGAGTTAGAGAATTTAAGACTTAAAGAAAGAGCTCATTACCAAGCCACGAGCTAGCATTTAAATGGGCTGGTACTAGACAGCTCTGGTAATTAAGACGTTCATATGTCTATAATAATATACTGGGCCAATGTTTCCATTTTTCAATGCCAAAGGCAAACTAGTTAGGTCATATAAAGTTCAACTCAAAGTCATCCAGAGACATGTGCCTTGGAAGACATTTAGCGCCTCCCACTTCTATATATATATATATATATATATATATTATTTCCAATTTGTCACTGCTTCTCAATTTATATAATATTGACTGTCAGGAGAAGATATTTTCTAGCATCCAGCGAAAGTTGTCGGCAATTGATGATCACAATGGAAGATGGAGAGCTCTGGAAGAAGTGTTATGCAACTTCTGATTTGTTTTTGGCCAATTTATGCAACTCCTAATAGGTAGTTAAACATTTGAATAAGTTTCTTTATAAAATATAACTGCATGCAAGTAAACACATAATTACACACACAGGAGTATAAATTGACTAGAATAATGTTGTATCCACAAAAAAAACTGACAATTGGAACAGATCCATCTTCTCCCTGGAGGAAACAGTTGTATCTTTGTTTGTAAATGGATGGTAACACTAAACCCACTCTTTTTTACAGATACATTAAATTCCCATTCTTGACCCAAATTTTTAACTAATACAATAACTACTGCCACTACATCAATACGGTTACTACTACAAAGACCAAAACACTAATCCTTTACCACCTCTATACTAGACTGTGATGTACTTGAGAACAGCTGCACGAACCTTTTCCATGAAAGCTGCTGCTTGTTTCTGCATGTTTAGAAATCAAGACTTCCAAAAGTTCAGTATGAGAAGAGGGGGGGAAGCTAGTCAAACAAAAATGATTCCTGTCTATTTTTTACAAAGAAGATGAACATGGTAGCATATGAATCTAAGATTAAGCAAATTTCCATTTTGCACATTTAGTTCTATCGTTGACCACTAATGGAAGGATTCAAAAAGACTGACAAAAACTGCTGCTGATGATGATATTTGACGAAGCATGCGGTGATGATAGATAAATGTACTCAGTTTTGACAGAACAAATTGTTGGCCACACTAACCTGGTTTGCTATCTGCGCATTTGCTATGTTTTCATCCAAAAGGGTCAATAAGGATCTATTTAGTTCGTTTTGCTCCACCATTTCCAACAACTGTGTAGCAGCAAAAAAACTCAACTCAATTGAGCAACACAAAGTTGGAAAGAGCAAATTCAGAGGCTTGATGAATGAGACTTGCAAATACCGTGGCTTTTACATCCTTTGATGTCAAAATTTTCGTGAGGCTTTGCTTCGCTGTTATAAGCTCACCTTGCATCGTATCATATGCTTCTGAAATGTAGAACAAAAGGAAAGCAGGTTTTATTATGGAAGCAAAAGTATTATATACAACCATATAGCAGTAACATTTGTTGACTATAAAACATACCTGTTCCTTCTTGCAAAGCCTTCTGTAGCGCTTCCAGCTCAATCAATCTATCCTCCATCGCCTGAAATATCCATAATCTTTCATATATAAATTCCCTTCAGTAACTCAGTTACATAGGCATGATTCTTCCTAAATATAGTCTTAGGGAAGAACCAAAAAAAGCGAAAAAAAAACCTCAGTTTTTGAAACAGCAAACCGAATCTGTCCTATTTCAAATTGGAGGTGCGAGAAAAGTTCTTGGTCCAACCTGCAAATTTTGCACATTGTAAGAAATAAAATGGCAATAAAATAGAGGAAAGAATATTCATAAGAGGGGAAATAGAGGAAACTAACTCTAAACCCCCATTCCCATAACCTTGCAATGTAATTGAACTGAAGAGCTAAAACTATAAACACATATACTCTAACAACTAATGAACAATTTCTACACCAAGATTCACATTCCCTCCAGGGAAAATTCACTACAAAATCTAAGCACTAACCTAGGCCTTAGTCTGGCAATCTCAAATTCAATCTCCTGCGCTTCTGTGTTGAGAAAGTACTCTACCAGCTCTTCTGGAGTATCCGGAATCACCCTGGACTAATATAATCCCAACAAAAGAGAATAAAAGTGTATATCAATCTACAATCCCTAATGCTATTTTCATCACAAATAAGATCAAATTAACGAGATTTATTACTTGGCGAAGAGCTCTGCGTCGCTCCTTTTCTTCTCGTACATGTTGCTCGAATGCTTCTCGAGCATCTGCGTCTTTCTCAAGCCGTCTCTGGAACTCCCGGCGAGCGATGTGCCCTGTTTGCGGCGGACCCAATAAACCTTCCGGATCCTTCCTTCGTTTTACATAGAAGAATTCGCTTCATTTTAATGTATACGTAAAACACTAATAAAAATGCAAATCTGGGAAAAAAAAAAAACAATGTGTGGGAAAGTGATTGAATTCTTCCAGAATATAGTTTTATGGTTTACAGTTCATACCCATCCGATACAGGAGATTTTGGGCCTGAAATTGGTCGGTTTTGACTTTGTACGGACGCGGTTGATGCCAGCGGCAGAGGTGGCTACGCCAATTGAGCCAATTGAAAGTGCTGCCATCATCGGTGGCTACTGTTATTATGTTCGCCGGTTCTAGTTTTGATGCGTCCGGCGGCTTCCTCTGTTTCTGTGTGTGAGTGAGAGTGGATGTGGCGTCTTATCCGTTAAAACGTTGTAATTTTCGGTTTCGGCATGTTATTCGCTGGTGGCGGGAATGGTGGCCGTTGGATTGGATCTAATCATCACCGTTGATTCAAAGACGTTTAAGACCCAAGAGTTTAATAATATTGGGCCTCCACTTGACAAGGCCCAAATTCTATTTAACTGGAGGACGCTAATCGGCTTCCAAACAAGTCCAACTGAAGTTCTGTTGGAGTTGAATGGTACCATCTTCCATGCAACAAAAAGGCACTCTCACTTAGGGCTGTGCATTGGGTACGGATATATATGATATATATATATATATATATATATGATATATATATATATATGTAGTGGTTTGTCTTGTTTGGATAGGTATTTTATTTGTGTTTGTATTTGTGAAGAAACAGTTAAATATTGAATATAAAAAATGTATACCTACTAAATATCAGGTAAGTATTGGTTATGAGGGTTAATATTTACATACTTGACTTATATACTTGACATATATACCTATATACTTAATTTATATATCCAACTCATATACATAATTATATATTTATAATATTATATACATATATATAAATGAATAGTGATACCTTGTGCTAGTTAAATTCCATTACCTATTACTATGATAGTACCAACGTGCAATTCCTTGCCATCAAGCTTGCCATCATGTCAAACACACAATTCTCTACTTTTATTAGATTTGATAAAATTAAATTAAATTTAAAATTTCGACATAATTCATTCGTTATAAGTAAGGTTATAGGTTTAAAATTCAAAGGTATCAATCTAAAATTATATATAATTCAGATCAAAATTACCTGAAGTTGATTAAATTGGATTAGAGTTGAGTCGAATCAATTCAAAGTAATTTGATTAAAGTTAATTAATTTTTAAAAATTTTAATTTTAATTATACTTTTAACTTACAGTTATATATTACCTTATGTATTTTCAATGTAAAATTTAACAAATTTACAAATATACTTGTGAATATATTTGTACTTAACAAATTGAGTAATAAATATAAATTTTTAATACCCAACTAATTTCTAAGCATTGAAATCTTATATCTATTACTATTCAAATCAAGTATAGATATGGCCAATATCTACCCATGCTCACCCCTACTCTCTAGCATAGATGGTGGTCCAGTAAGTATAAGCTATCTTAAAAGTGAAAAGCTGCAATGGTGGGTGCAAACGAAATTGTAACTCAACTGATAAAATATAACGTAAATCTTTCTGTACCTAATTTAGAAATAGGGAATAATTTTATTTTATAATGATAATAACTAATAAGCTACAATTTATAAAAAAAAAAA